TGTCACTGTTTCCCCATCTATTTGCCATGAAGTGATGGGACCAGATGCCATGATCTTAGTTTTCTGAATGTTGAGTTTTAAGCCAACTTTTCATGCTCCTCTTTCACTTTCTTCAAGAGGCTCTTTAGTTCTTCTTCACTTTCTGCCATAAGGGTGGTATCATCTGCATATCTGAGGTTATTGATATTTCTCTCGGCAATCTTGATTCCAGCTTGTGCTTCATCCAGCCCAGCATTTCTCATGATTTACTCTGCATATAAGTTAAATAAGCAGGGTGACAACATATAGCCTTGACATACTCCTTTCCTGATTTGAAACCAGTCTGTTGTTCCATGTCCAGTTCTAACTGTTGCTTCCTGACCTGCATACAGGTTTCTCAAGGGGCAGGTCAGGTGGTCTGGTATTCCCATCTCTTTCAGAATTGTCCACAGTTTGTTGTGGTCCACACGTCAAAGGCTTTGGCACAGTCAATAAAGCAGTAGTAGATGTTTTTCTGGAACTCTTTGCTTTTTCAATGATCCAACAGATGTTGGCAGTTTGATCTCTGGTTCCTCTGCCTTTTCTAAATCCAGCTTGAACATCTGAAAGTTCACAGTTCACGTACTGTAGAAGCCTGCTTGGAGAATTTTGAGCATTGCTTTGCTAGCATGTGAGATGAGTGCAATTGTGTGGTAGTTTGAATATCCTTTGGCATTGTCCTTCTTTGGGATTGGAATGAAAGCTGACCTTTTCCAGTCCAGTGGCCACAAACTCCAGTCCTGAGTTTTTCAAATTTGCTAGCATATTGAGTGCAGCATTTTAAGAGCATCATGTTTTAGGATTTGAAACAGCTCAATTGGAATTCCATCACCTCCACTAGCTTTGTTTGTAGTGATGCTTCCTAAGGCCCACTTGACTTCACATTCCAGGATATCTGGCTCTAGGTGAATGATCACACCATTGTGATTATCTGGGTCATGAAGATCTTTTTTGTACAGTTCTTCTGTGTATTCTTGCCACCTCTTCTTAATATCTTCTGCTTCTGTTGGGTCCATACCATTTCTGTCCATTATTGTGCCCATCTTTGCATGAAATGTTCCCTTGGCATCTCTAATTTTCTTGAAGAGATCTCTAGTCTTTCCCATTCTGTTGTTTTCCTCTTATTTCTTTGCATTGATCACTGAGGAAGTCTTTCTTATCTCCCCTTGCTATTCTTTGGAATTCTACATTCAAATGGGTATATCTTTAGTTTTCTCCTTTACCTTTTGCTTCTCTTCTTTTCATAGCTATTTGTAAGGCCTCCTCAGACAACCATTTTGCCATTTTGCATATCTTTTCCTTGGGGATGGTCTTGATGCCTTCCTCCATGTCAAAATTGGGAACCAATCTTGGAAGCAGACTAAGCAGGCAAGTCCCAGTGATACCATCCGGTATACAGAATAGAAACTTTCTGTGGGAAGAGTTTTGAGATAGCATTGGTGCAGTGTTTCCTGACTCTTTGGGGATTCATTCATTTATTCAACAAATATTTACAGAATAACTGTCAGGTGCTAGGCCCTAATTTGAATCTGGGATACAATAATGAACAAAATAAACAAAAACTGTTTTCTGAAAACCTTTAGTCAGGAAAGAGAGGGGGTTTTGAAATGGTTTGCAATTTTTGAAAATTGCACAGAGAAGGTGTTAGAGAAGGGATTAGGGAAGTAAAGCACGTGGGTGCCTAGGAAAAGAATAGTCTAGGAATCACCAAGTGAAAAGGCTCTGAAGCAGGGCATGCTGGGTGTGGCTGAGGCACAGAAAGAGGATCTCTGGCCAAGGCAGAGTAAAGGAGGGAAAGAAATAGGAAATTAGAGCCTCGTGGACCAACCTAAGGACTTTGGGTTTTACTGCGAGTGAAGTGAGAGGGCTTCAGGCAGAAGAGTGAGCTGATGTTCAGCACTGTCACTCCAGCTGTCTGTGGAGAACAGAACTAGGAGGGCAAAGGTGGGGAGCTGGGAGACCAGGTAAGCAGTCACAGGAATGACCCGGGTGAGAGACAATAGTAGCTTAGACCGTTGTAGTAATAGTCAGATTCTGGGTATATTTTGCATTTTATGGCCTTAGAATAAACTGATGGATCAGAGCTATCTGATGGTGAGAGTGAGGGAGTTGAGGATGACTTCAGAGTTTTGGGCCAAACTAATATAACAATAACATTTTACTGAAATGGGGAGGATTGTGGTCTTGCATATTTGAAGAGAAAGATCATGGATATAGTTTCTGTTACATACCCAAGAATATATGGTGAATAAGCAATTTTATATACAGGTCTGGAATTCAGGGAAGAAACCCAGGCTGGAGAGAGGAAATCTAGGGCCTATGTAGTCCAGACCTTTGTTGGAACTATCTAAGAGATGTGACTTAAGTCATTGGAAGGTTGAATATGTATCGTCCTTGAAAACAGTCTCATTTATTTTGTAGCTTACAGCTTATGTTACTAACTCTTTGTTAGTAGTATATGTTTCAGTAAAATGTCACAAAGTAACATCTGCCAAATGCATATTTAATTCAAATTGAAATATAAGTTAAATTTTATATAACCTATCAAATGTTTTAAAACAAAAAAATACTGTTTTAAGTCTTAGAAGCATTTTGCTGTACGGGCATTATTTTCATCATGGCCTTTGCCTTAAATATATATTTAAATTTGTGGCACAGTTTCTAACATTTACCTAAGATCTGAATTAGTTATTTATCTTCTATTCTAGCCTTTTTCATTGTATACTGCAGCCCCTAAAATCCTTGAAAAGATATACATTTATATTTTTTCTGTTAGAGGCTTCCCTGGTGGCTCAGTGGTAAAAAACTTTGCAGGAGATGAGTGTTCAATCCCTGAGTCAGGAAGATCCCCTCAAGAAGGAAATGGCAACCCACTCCGGTATTCTTGCCTGGAAAATTACATGGACAGAAGAATCTGGCGGGCTACAGTCCATGGGGGCGCAGAGAGTTGGACATGATGAGCATGCACATACACACACGGCACTTATATACCATGTGTCGATACTGCTTTTCTGTCCCTTTTTTACAAACAGCAATAATATGTCAATTGAAAAGAAAATATTGAGCATGTGTAGTATATGAACAAGTCCACAGTTATCTGTTACCCAAAAGGGGCATGTTTTTATACTAGTGTCCATGAATCCTTATCATGTAGATAGAGAAGAACAGCATATTATAAGAACCTACATCTTCCTGTGAGGAATGTAAATCAATAACACAGTGTATAGTACTGTTCCTGAGTCACAGATGAGTGGCAATTGATGAGCATGAGTTTTGTCAAAGAGGTGAGTTTTGAGCCAGGATTTGAAGCTGTGTGAGGAAAACAGAGTGAAATAAACTTCAAATTAACTACTTTTAACTGGTCAAATGAAAGCAAGAAAGTAAAAGTCACTCAGTTGTGTCCGACACTTTGCAACCCCTGGACTGTACAGTTCATGGAATTCTCCAGGCCAGAATACTGGAGTGGGTAGCCTTTCCCTTCTCCAGGAGATCTTCCCAACCCAGGGATCGAACCCAGGTCTCCCACGTTACAGGGGGATTCTTTACCAGCTGAACCACTAGGGAAGCCCTGTAATTGGTCATGTGTGTACATATACACATATATGGATATTTTTAATTTCTATGTATAAATCTTCACCCTAACCAAAAAGGATACACAGTGAGTACTCAAGGAGAATGTTCTGGGTATGTGTGTCAAGGTAAAAGGAAAAAATACAGCTTATTACAGCCTCTGTTTCCTCATATTTGAAGGTAAGAATGGAGATATTCCCCAGGGTTTTTATGAATAAGTGAGATAATGTTTGTGACATTATTATGTAGTAGTACTGTGGAAGCACTGCTGAAATGTTTGCTAGTTGTTAGTTTAGTCTACACTTAAAGAAAGAAGAGAGAGGATTCATTGCAGATTCTGAAGGGGTAAATATTTTAAGAAATACTTTAAAAAGTCTTTCAGTGACCTCAGAATATCTCAGTTTTCAACTGTTGTCTATTTCACATATTACAAAATCCAGGTTCCTAGTTTGAGCAAAAAATGGAATGTCAAAATCCAGATTTTTCTAGCTCCAAACCTCACATATTGTTCTCTCTTCTCCCATTTCCAAAATGGACATAATAATTCATAAAGGTACTCTATCATCTTGCTCAAGGATGTTTTTTCATCTAAGTGTTTCAAAGTTACTTAAATGTTTTCTTTGACTTTTGTGCGTGAGAGCCCTGACATTATAAATGATTCACATGTCTGTCTGGTTTTTCCTTTTAAGAATCATGGCATTTCTGGGGAAGTGTTCCTCACTGAGGGGAAAGAAAAATTAGGCAACCCCTTAGTATAGTTTAATGGAGCTCATATTTTTGAGGTATAATTGTTTTTGTTTTTCCATAATATATACTTTATTTCTTATTCTCTTTTATTTTAGCCTTTCTTCATATTCTCATTTTACTGTTAAGTCAGCTGCCATTTACTGTTATCTGCTGTTTTTTATTGAAATTATTTTCACATAGCAAATCAAAGCCCTTTTAATCTGTGGAGAACACGTGTCAGATGGGCATTCTAGCCAGTTGTTAATTTTTCTCTAGTCGATGCCGCCAGTCTGCTCTCCGACGAGCGCCTTACTAAAACCATGAAGTTTTATGGCGCCCACTGGAAAGGAAGGGAAGAAAGGAAAATCATTTCTCAAAATTCTCTATTTACTCAATAGCCCAAACCAATGTTTCTGAATAAAATTTTGTTTTCTCAACCAGTATCTTGGTGGTAGATTAACATATCGCAATTATAATAATATGCAAAAATATTTTTCTGTCAAACTCAAAGCTTTTACACAATAAAGATAGCTAGAAATTTGAAGAGGCTAAATGATTATCACTTCAGTGCCTTCTTTTGTAAGTAGCCACTTTTTATATTTCGTATAGATGTTGATTTTCCTTTATGAGTTTATAATTTGAGACATTTATTAAAATAATAAAAATTTCTGATTCCTCTTTGATAGAGCTGGAGTGGACCAGAGAAATTGCTTGCTTTAGATGAACTTATTGATAGTTGTGAACCAACCCAGGTAAAACATATGATGCAAGTGATAGAACCCCAGTTTCAACGAGACTTCATTTCCTTGCTCCCTAAAGAGGTAAGGATTATCAATTATATTCTTCATTGGTGCTATTTGAAAATATAAATCAACAGCTACCCTCTTTAGAAGTTGTTTTGCTAATTACAGTATTCAGTATTGTCAGTTTAACATTTAGTGTTAAAGGTTGCTGTAAATGATAAGCTACCATAGTTTAGCATAATTTTCAGATTAAAGTATACTTACGGACTAAGTATCTTCTCTCCACCACTGGAATAAGTCATACATGAGACCAAGCTATTGAGTTTCATTAATTTGATGGTTCCTTTACCAAGATTTTTTTCCCAGCTTATTTGAAGTCCAGGCTTTAATTGTCTTGGTGCATTCATTACATTAGTAGATTTTTTTTATTCTGATTTTATTAAAACAGCGGTATTTTTTCTTATTTTGTTGTTTGTTTATCTTGAGTCCCTTTAAGACTAATAGTTTCATAACTCTGTTGGATTGTACTTCTCTGTGAGTTACATTATGTGATTATTTTGAAGTATATAAAATTTCACATGTGTATCTTCTGTTATTCATCTCCCTTTTTACCCCATCACACACACACATGCCAAATCACAGATTTCCCATACCAATTACATTTCTTAGAGCATTTCTTTTAGAATTACTTATACCTATTTGTTTTAATATCTTTGTATAATATAAAGCGTCTTTGCTTTTTTATATGATCACATGTGTATTCCTGACCATAAATAAGGCATCGTTTAGATGTAGTTCTTTCATTGAGGTTGTAGGCATCATAGTTTCATTTTTGTCAGCAAACAGAAATAACATTAATGCTACCAAGATTTATATTTTCACAAAAATTTTATATAGATCAGCTAAGAAAACAATATAAAATACCATTTATGTTAGTATAAATACAAAGGCAAACAGTCCTGAAACTTCAAATTTGAAGAGAAAGGAGGTTGATTTCTTTTTCAGATAACCATTCTACATATCCTAAGGGCATTAAAGATAGTCCTGATGATAATTTCACATTGGATATTTATAAAATTGGTTTCATCATAGTTAATGGATGAAATTAAGTGTAACTCCAGGAGAAATCAAAGTGGAAAAAAACATCATTTTCCTGAAATGTTTCTACTTTGGAGTGATTTTTTTAAATGACTTTGTTCCAGGAAGAAATTTTGTATTCTTGCTGGCTCATTCTAAAACTGAACCCTTTGGATAGATTTGGCTTATAAAAGTGACATAAGCTCTCTTTACTTCCACAAGGGTGCTATTAATAGGAAACTCTTTTTTATGTATTTGATCAAAAGTGAATTTATTCACCTTTGATATATCTTTCATAGTTTTCCTTGATAGTCCTCCCTATTTTTTATTTTTGTTAATATAGACTTTTCTCTGAGTCTAGTTTGTCGTCATATCTCTAAAGATTGTGAGCTTTTTGCTTTATTTGGATTTCCATAGTAGCTTCATAACACAAAAACATATGATTTATAAAAATTGCTAAGAATCTAAAAAGTATAATTTATTGATAACCACGCAATAAAGATTTTCTCGGATTAAGTGTTCATTTGAAGATTGCCTGAGGGCAAAGAAGTTTTGCTAGACAGGAGAATGAGTGAGCCTGGCTTAGCATGACTCCTGTCTCCCCCTGCCCCCCGCCCTCTTTAATTTATTTTTTATTGAAGTGTAGTTGAATTACATTGTTGTGCTAATTAGTGTTACACAGAAAAGTGGCTCAGTTAAACATACATACACATTCTTTTTCATATTATTTTCCATTATGGCTTATCACAGAATGTTGAGTAATAAACACTTTCTATTTTTAAAAACACTTTATTTTATATGTAAGGAAATAATGGTGTAGATCTAAAGTTGGCAAGGAAACTAACATCTTATTGGAGACTAAGTACTATTATTATTTAATAATAATAATGTCAGGAAGTGAACTTATAATAATTTTTTATAATTCCTTTCAACAGATCTCAAAGTTCTTTACCAACACTTACTACTCTCAAAAACCTTGACAAAATATCTCACTAGTCTCACATGGGAGACTTGTGATAAAGGGCATTATCCTTAGTTTGTAAGTAAATGCCAAAAAGAGCATAATGGTAACAGTTGATGATCTACAACAAAACCTAAATTCTTAACATAGAATTGGCCAACATTTTGTTTGTTCTTTTTTTTTTCTTTGATTAGTTTAATTCATTGAAATATAGCAATTCTGAGAAAGTATTATCCACTTTTTAAATATAACATGGTGGTCTTTTATATAAGTTATAGTGAAAAACAAAAATTAGCAACTGTAATTGAAATGACAAGTTTGGGCAAGGAAAATAAAATTATCTGAAATAAATCTTCAGTTTAAGAGCTTCTCTTGTGTGGAATTAGTCCTTAGGAAGAATTACTGGTTTAGAGTTCACCTTTAATACAAATGAATAGAAAATTACATTCACTAGACCATTTGATGTGGCTCCCAGAAACCTGTAACCCCCCTCTTCAGGGTTTTAGAGTGTGGCTTGGGACAGTGCCCACTGTCTGTTCCCATAAGGAGCCCAAAACCTTGTGGTCTTTGAGGAACTGATGTAACTAATTATTGTTTTATTTTTGCTTGGCAGCCTAATTAAAAAACCATATAGAATATTGTTGCCAATATATTTTGTGTTCTTCTCCGATAGTTTAAACCTTTTCTGATTTATATTTTTCCTGATTCTGATCTTCTTATTAATATTTTTCTATTTGGCTATGTGTATTTTATACAATATCAGGATGTTTTGGTGGAATAGACAAGCATTTAATAAGTTGAAGTTCATGGTTGAGTTAGGGCTTTTGCTGTTTTAAAAGGAATGGGTGCCAGTTACCTATGGAGTTAGCACTTCAACTTTCTTTAGCACTTCAGTGTTTCTTTACATTTCTTTTTAATGCATTTAGACACTGGACTAGATGATATCTTAATCACCAGTAATAAAGGAAATTTTGTCTGTTAAGTTTGCAGGTAAACCTTTGAAATCTGAGCCACTCTGGATTTGTTTCTTAGCATTTAAGATCCATTGAATGTTTCTGTAAATGGCCTGTTTTCAGCTTCAACTGGATAACTAAAGAATAGACTTTTTCATTTGACTCTTCTAAATATCTTGAGCATTAAGTAGCGTTTCTTTTCCACAAATATAACTTTGTACCTGATAATTTCTATGTTAAATATCAATTTCACATAGAAGACTAATAGTATGATATTAGACTGATACTAAGGGAGGCCTGACGTGCTGCGATTCATGGGGTCACAAAGAGTCAGACACGACTGAGCAACTGAACTGAACTGAAGAAACTTGCGTAGGCTTTGATTGATTGATAATTTCAAAATTAAGTGGTCTATAGAGTATCCATTAAAAATATATTGTTAAGTTATATATGTGTGTATTTGTATATGTGTATATGTATATATGAATGCACATATATATATAGAGAGAGATAGATTGTTGAATATAGTTATGCCTTTTTATTTTAAATGAGTTTCCATATATAATACTGAATGGTCTTTTCTGATAGACCAAAAATAATTATTCCACAAAAATTTTTTCACTGTCATTTGCCATTAGGAGTATTAAATTGAATACTGACTGGTTGAAATACTTTCTATAAAAGAATGTACTCAAGAAATATGTGATTAATGATGAACTCTACATATGAAAAGTCATTGGGAAAGCATAATTTACTTTATGTAATTCCTCTTTAACATGAAAAAATCATTCAGAATATGCTTTTACTCCCTATATGAGCCTAGGCCCTTTAAATGATATTTTGTCTTAACCTATAAGTTAGGTTACATGAAAAGCTAGCTTTTTTGCTTTGTTTAGTTCATTCTGTCCTAATATCATAATTTGAATTTTTATGTGATTTGTGAGGCTAATTGAATGAGCATAGTCAGAAGCTGTCATTCCCCTTTTCCTGCTCTTTTATTTATTTGACTTGACTTTACACAATGGAAATAAATTGATGGTTTGCAAGTATTATAAACAAAAGTTTTAAATCAGTGATATGTCAAAGACCTCGCTCAAATACACAACCCTATTTGGCCCATCAAGAAAGTCCCCATAAGCCGTATAAAGGAATTAGAACCCAATCACTTTTATAAGTCTTTGTGATTTACAAGTAAAGGGTGTAAATGTTTGAAAAGTTCGTCATTCTGATATAAACACTTTGATATGATAAAGAACTATGAATTATGTCATTTCAAAGGATTCTGAAATCATGCCACATAGATCATATAAGAATCTCATTTCTTAAATGAAATTATATTTTAGTAAGGACAGAAAAAGTTAACATTTAAAGAACTAATAAAGTAAAAAAATATATAAATAGATTTGATAAAATTCTTGAATCAGGGCTCACAGAGCAAAAGCAGGAGAAAAGGCCGATGGGTTTAATAAGTATTCCTTGAAGAGGTAAGGAGTTACTAGGGTCAAGTTCATAAAAACCAATAGGATATTTTTAAATCTTGTGTGTATTTGTTAAAATTGAATATTAGAAGGTACTGCCTTTCTATAATACTAGTAATTAGAATGTAAAATTATCTTACATTTATCTATAAGCACTTTATCCTATAGAGAATATTTTCTAATTAAAAAGAGATGCTTGGTATGCTATGCTTTTTCTTTTCATAGCTGGCACTTTATGTGCTTTCATTCCTGGAACCCAAAGACCTGCTACAGGCGGCTCAGACTTGCCGCTACTGGAGAATTTTGGCTGAAGACAACCTTCTCTGGAGAGAAAAATGCAAAGAAGAGGGTAAGGTTCACAATCACAGAGAGAAAATGTGGTTTGAAAAAGCAGAGTGATTCTGAAAACAAAACACAACAAAAAAATAGTAAGTTTTATGTGCTTGTAGGATAAAGTGGTGGATCAATTTAAAAAACAACTTTGGCAGCCTAACAAGGAATCAAGACTGCATCTTCATTTACATTCACCTACATATATTAAATCCACAGGTTATTCCACATGTTCAGATGAGCCAAATCTTGGCACTAACCCGTTTAATGAGCACTGTAACTAACAGTGAATATATCTGATTTGCTTCCTAGTCTCCAGTAGAATTAATAAACAGTGAGAAAGTCAAGATGAAGACAATATAAACATAACCCCCAAATTAGCGATTACATACTCAAATTATAGTCTATTCATTTCTTCCACAAATATTTATTAAACACCTCCTATGTGCTAGATCACTCTCATAATCTCCCCACCATGGAGCTTGTGTTCTGAGACTTGTTAACAAAAAAAAACAAATCCCCTTTCTTACTAATGGAGTAGGTATCATGCATATTAATTCAAGAAAGAGCACGTTTTTTCCAGGAGGCATCTAGAAAAATATTATTTTTGAAAAAAACTATGCTAAAATATTATTTGCCTTCAACAAGCAAACTTTTTAAGAAAGAATCATAGAGGGTAAGACAGATGCACTGCCTGTTCTCTTGCACCTCATGGAGATCATAGTGGATTGGGCAGCATTGATGGTTAGTAAAGCTGGGAGGTGAAGATCCAGAATCCTTGGTTCTTCATCCTGCCTCTGCCCTGTCTGTGGCTTGGTCTGATCAGGAAACCCTTCCTTCTCAAGTCATCATAAAGTAGGATTAATTATGCTTGCTTTACTTTCTCTCATAGAATCATTGTTTTAATGACCTTTTTAAAAATTGTGATAATTTATGCATAAAATAGAATTTATCACTTTCACCGTTTTCAAGTGTACATTGCAGTGGCATTAAGTACATTGACATTGCACTTGGTCATGCAGCCATCGCAACCATCCATCTCCAGAACTTGATCATCTTCTCCGGCTGCAGCTCTGTATGCATTAAACAGTAACTCTTTATTCCTCCTCTTCACAGCCCTGGAAACCACCATTTTGTTTTCTGTCTGTATACATTTGACTGCTCTAGGGACCTCATTGTAAATATAATCATACAATAGTTGTCTTTTTGTGACTGTCTTATTTCACTTAGCATAATGTCTTAAAGATTTGTCCAAATGTGTCAGAATTTCCTCCTTTCTTAAGGCTAAACATTCCATTGTATGTATATACCACTTTTTTTCTCCATTTATCCATCAGTGGTCACTGGGTTGCTTCCACCTCTTGGCTGTTATAAAGAATGATGGTGGGAACGTGGGTAGACAAATAACTATTCAAGTCCCTACTTCCAGTTCTTTTGGGTGTTGTATCCAGGGTGAAATTGCTGGGTCATGTCACAATTTTATGTTTATTTTGAAGAATCGCTATACTCTTCTCCATAGCAGCTACATCATTTTACATTCCCACAAGCATTGCCCAAGGGTTCCAATTTATGCACATCCTCACCAACATTTTATAGAATTATTCTAAGAGAGAAATTAAATAGTCAATATACACCATGCCATACAGAATGCAAAATTTACATGATTGTTTTGTCATAACAGTGTTCTGCATTTCGGTGGTTTTGATCATTGGAGAAGATAAGATACATTAGAAAATGTGTAATTTGTATTATTGGTAAAGGCAGCTATACTCTTTAAATGTTCCAAATTTTAGGTATTGATGAACCATTGCACATCAAGAGAAGAAAAGTAATAAAACCAGGTTTCATACATAGTCCGTGGAAAAGCGCGTACATCAGACAGCACAGGATCGATACTAACTGGCGGCGGGGAGAGCTCAAGTCTCCTAAGGTAACCGAGCAGGGCGCCCTCCCTACCGGGGCGTTCATCGGTGTTACTAGCACGCAGGGTGCTTGCTGCTGGCCTGCGGTGGGAGTGGACAGCCTGTCTTCTGTAGCAGGAAAACAGTGTGTTTCTAAAACAACAGAAAATGTAACTGACAGTGTTCCTCTTTACTAATTTTTCTCTAGTTTGACAGCTAACTGTACTATGTACTTGAATAAAATTGATGACTAATTGTACTTGAATAAAAGATGAGTTGATTAACCTGTTCTATCTATTGCATGTAAATGAAAATTTCTGAATATTCTGTTGAATTTTGTGTCATACTTATACCTAAAAGTTTGTTCCCTGTCCAAGCATGACTTTTTGAGGAATGCCCATGTTTGGGGGGCTTGTTTGGTAGCTTTTGTGTGTTTTAATTTTATAAATTTAAGCCTAATTCTGATTTTCTGCCTTATAACATTTCAAGTATATAAAGAATGACAAAAATGCTTGAAATTCTTGGCTGTATTTTTTTAACTGAATTAAAAGCGCTTTGGGGAGACATTTTGTCTTAGTACATACATGTTATGACAGACTTTTTTGTTAAGTTGAAAAGGTTGGTGAGTATTGTCTTTCCGCTTAGTAGGTGCTTTTGTTTTTGTGTGTCAAAATTGCACGGCTGAAGTGCATATTCTTTTGGTTTGAAAAGACAAAATAGACGGTATAATAGACATGTGTGTTCAAACCATCTTTATGAGGTTTTGATTGATTTTAGTAGTTGATGTCTCATGTATAGGTAGTAGAATATGGAAACAATAAGATGTTTAATACTTGATTCATCTACCAGGAAGGATACTTCATATTTTATATAAATTTTTATTCTAGAAGTAGACTATGCATTCCTGTTGCTATTTATGGCCTCTGTTTTCTTTTCACCAGTATTTAACATATTTCTCATCTGCACGTCTATGTTGTAGGTGCTGAAAGGACATGATGATCATGTGATCACGTGCTTACAGTTTTGTGGTAACCGAATAGTTAGTGGTTCTGATGACAACACTTTAAAAGTTTGGTCAGCAGTCACAGGCAAAGTAAGTTTACTTCTTTCTACACTTCATAAGTCACTATTTGGTACATATCTTTGCAAGGATCAACCAGTGAGATGAAAGCAAAGATTCATTTTTGACTCCAGCTTAGTTTGATAGCAAGTATAAGAGCTTCTAATTTAGCTTTTTCCTTGGCATGAAAATGATGCTTCTCATGGTAGGGATGTCATTAGTTTCTTCTTCATTTGAATAGTTGGTCTATCTTTGTAACTTAGGTTAAGATTTTACAGATGTGGTGGTGTGAGGTTTTTTTTTTTTTTTTTTGGCCTAATTTTTCCCACTTTTATTAACCATCTAAGTTATATCTCCTTCCTTTTTAATTTTTTTCAAAAATATGATTGGTATTTTTCCTTTTAAATTTTGTTGATAACCTAACTATAGTTTAAAAGTTAAATAAATCATGTTAATTTTGATTTATCTCAAACCCTATAAGGTAGAAGTTAAAGCGGGCTATTTAGTTAAATGAGTTTGAAGAAAACAAAGCAACCCAGGCTCACTGCACATAATGTTATTCTTTAAAGATTCTCTTCTGAATACTTACTTTTATCTGTCCAATGGAAAATATTTTCGTGAATTAAGTAATTGACCACTTAAAAAATAACAGAAGAAAGTGTTGGTAGGGGGAAAATCTATGTTTTAAAATGTTGATTCATGGACAAAAATCTTCTAAATATTCCAAGTCAGATGTTACAGTTTTTAAAAACAGTTTCATATTGCCATAGTGTAATATTAGTCTTGGATTTATTTCAGAGTTTTAATGTCTATCTTTACTTGTCTAGAAGTACCTTGCCTGGCTCCTAATTACTGCCTCGGAGCAGATTCAGATGAAATGTGGTATGTAGCCACACCCAATCCTCTTGGCATTCTTTCATTGAATCCATTCCCATGGAAGAAACCAAGTTGCAATTTTAGTATTATTATCAAAGAGGCCAGGCCAGAGCTGTCATACTTTAGCCAGAAAGGTTTACTTTCTACATCCGTGCTCCTAAATTATGTGAGTGTGTATAAAATGCAGTGCTGCCAAATAAACAAAGCAAACAAAATAGTGATGGGATCTTGTTATATTGGTGTAAAAATTATTTTCTGATATGCTAGACATTCCAAGTGAGTAAATAACTTTAATCCAGATTTTAATGAGCTACTGAAATGTTATTTACATTGTTTTTCTTTCTACCTCAAAGTAATCATCTTAAGTGTTTTTGCAGTGTCTGAGGACATTAGTGGGACACACAGGTGGAGTATGGTCATCACAGATGAGAGACAATATCATCATTAGTGGATCCACAGATCGGACTCTCAAAGTGTGGAATGCAGAGACGGGAGAATGTATACACACCTTATATGGTCATACTTCCACTGTGCGTTGTATGCATCTCCATGAAAAAAGGTAGGGGAAATCCTGTAGAACTTGGGAATTCTTCCTCTGTTACTTGTGAACTTGGGGCCTGTTGTGCAGAGTTCGGTTGTATAATACTTACTGTGTCTAGTAGAGGGTGAGTGCTAATGTGCTTTTAAATTAGACTTTAATTATTCAGCTTCAGATGTTTCTCTGCTAGGAAAGCAGTGGGGTATTGCCTTAAAATCGGGCAGTTGTCATTAAGTCTCCTTCCTCATTTAATGGTGTTGTTGGCTTCCACTTTGAAATGCCTTGTTCTGTGATCTTGACTAATACCTTAGACTTTATTGTTCTAAATCTTTGATGACTCATCATGTTAAAAATATTTGGGGTGGGAGGATATATTTTTGTTGGGAGGACAAATTCAGTTATTCAGGCTTCAAGCCTCTTGTCTCTGTAGTTACCCACCCACCACCCCTCCCCCTCTATTGTCTCCCCTATGTCCAGACAAAAGCTGAGTGAGGCTGTGGGTTTTAACTTATTGTTATTACCTGTCACCTGAACTGGTGACTGAGCTTTCATATTGGGTCACCTTGCGCACAGCTGGCAGAGAACCTCCTCTGATTATGGTAGGACCATGAGCTTTTGGGAGCCTTCTGTTGCACACTAAATTAAGGAAGAAATCCAGTTTTCAGAATAATAGCTTCAGCCAAACTGGACTGCTAACCTTTTTCTTCTCAGTATCTTTGCTGTTGCTTTTATTTCCTGCTACAGAGCCCTCCTATTAAAAGTCCTTTTTGTTTTCCATTGGCGTGTCTTCATGGTACTCCTGTTAAACAGATGTAATTTCTACCTATTTTGTCAGAAAAAGTCTCTCTGAAGGGTCCTTACAACTCCAGTTTTTACTGTTCATTCTGTCCGTGGCATTCTTTATTAAGAACCATTACATTAAACTTATTTCACTCTAGGTTTGTAATACATGAAGAAAAGTGCCTTTTTTCACTTGTAATTTGCATCTACTTTTGAACAGTGTGCTCCACTATTAAAATTGGGGGAGTTGGTGTCAAGAGACCTTGCATTTCAGTTTTCAGTATGTTCTGACTTAAATGCCTCAGTGCTTCCATTTTCTACTCTTCCAAACATGGAAAGTGGACTTTCTTTCTCTCTTAGGAATAACATTAAAGACACCTGAGTTTTCAACTCTCCTTTGTAATCCAAAGGTGATTACAGTATTTGTATCACTCTTGTTTTCGGAAGAGTATCACTTTAATAATCTTGGGTCAAAATTTTAAGGGATTTCTCTTGCTTCTACATGTGTATCTTCTAAAATCTGTATATCTTAATGCCCTCATAGCCTATTGAATATTTTAAAATGCATAAGCAACCTTTGTTTGAGGACATATTTAAAACTGGTTAATTTAACCAGAGTATATGGTATAAAGCACATATCTTTAGCAGTTTAAATTCCAAATTCTGGCTTGTTTTGTTGAGTCACTTCTATTGAATTTTTTCCCTAGTCATAAAGGGAATGTGTGTTCATATTAAAATTTGGGGAAATGGGAGAAAGAATAAAGAAAAAATTTTAAGTTTTCAAAATATTAATACTACCACCTATTAACATTTTATACATACTATCCACACTGGCATCTTATTTCTAAAATCAAGATCTTGTTGTATGTATTTAGAACTCGCCACATGTTCTGCTAATTTTTTGTCTTCATCTTCCTGTGCTTCATCTTCGTTGTATCTAACTATAATACAGTAGTTTTCAAACCGCAGGACGCCAAGGTGCTTCTCGGTTCCTCATAGGTGGAGGAACCAAACAGGCAGAATTCAAGGCTTTCCAACTTTCCATCCCAAACAAAGTAACTCAGCTTTCATGTGTTTATATACTGAGGTTTGACATAGCATGTATTTATTTTGAAAACAGGTGGTTTCTGCTTAAGAAAAAGAAAAGAAGTTTTAATGACCACTGACTTTTTATGTATTATTTTCCCATGATTTTAAATTCTCATAAATTTTTTTCTGTTATACCCACAGAGTTGTTAGCGGTTCTCGAGATGCCACCCTTAGGGTTTGGGATATTGAGACAGGCCAGTGTTTACATGTGTTGATGGGTCATGTAGCAGCAGTCCGCTGTGTTCAGTATGATGGCAGGAGGGTTGTGAGTGGAGCATATGACTTCATGGTGAAGGTGTGGGACCCAGAGACAGAGACTTGTCTGCACACGCTGCAGGGCCACACCAACAGGGTCTACTCACTACAGGTAAGAGACTGAGCGCTCTCGCTCCTGCGGTGCTCTCGTAATGAGTCATAATATTGTCTCATTCAGTAATTGCCAAATTACTGATCCAGTACAGCCCAGAAACAGATGAATTATTCTGCTGTTTACATTTACTTTAAAATTGGCACGAAGAAAGCATGCATTTTGAAATTATTTAAATGATTTGTTTCCATTTTTCTGTGATTCATTTCCCTCTAAAATATAAATATTGGTCTTGTAACCTGAGATTTGGGGGCCCTAAGTTTTCCTGTGTTAGTTAATGGGGAGATACTCTCATAAGGAAAATAACGTGGACTTTAATAAACTCCTTAGCACAGGATTAATTTGGCCGGAAGCTGCCCCTTTGCCTTGATAGCTGGAGGTTGATGGAGCACGTAATTGTGATTCTGTCCCCATTCACAGTGGGAGTGGGGCTTCTGCACAAAGCTGCTCTGCACTCACAGGGCTGCCGGGTTGTGGTCATAAGGAGGAAATTTGTCTTAAACATTTTTGATTTGTTTTTGTTTGAGCCTGATAACCTAGAATAGACTGCCACATTTTGACATAAACAACTCGATTATTAGCAGGTTTAAAAAATACGTCTTGTTTTGTTTCCTGACAAAACAACATTTTCAATTAAAAAATACAGTTGACTCTTGAACAATGTAGGAGTCAGAGGCACCACCCCCCACCACCACTCCAGTCAAAAATCCTCGCATAGCTTTACAGTTGGCCCTCAATGTCTGCAGTTCCACATCCAAGAGTCCAGCCAACCTGGGACTGTGTAGTAACATAGTAGGTATCGAGTGAAAGAAATTTGTAAGTGTAGTGGACCCTCCCAGTTCAAACCCATGTTATGCTAGGGTCAGCTGTATTTCCTATTATTAATACTTATGTAGCTTGTTTACCAATTACTGCCCACTAGTGATCAGCAAATTAGTACATGGGCCTAGGGCTCACAGTTCTGTCCTTGGAGTATTTGTTTCTTCATGGGATTATGTCTATGTCGTGAAATATTGACATAAAATAAAGATGTCTGTTAACTTAGAAAAGGTTATTAATTTGGAGGAGAGGGAATTGGCTATGGTTGTATGTTTTGTGATATGTTCAGAACCTTAATGAATATAATAACCTCATTTAAATAAACCCTTAGATTGAGAAAATAGGTAGGAACTTTATTATCAGTCTGGGAATTGGTAGATATTTGTTGACTTTTGGTCTAGCTGGGAAGTTGGAGAAGAGGTGCCATAGATAGTTTGCTTTTGTTATCAAAATGCCACCACTTCTAATTCTAGACTAATTATCTGTTGGCACATTTCCTAACTAGCATTAGGTTCCTGTAAATGAAATTTTTATTTTACATACAGTTTAATGGAACTTACTTTGAAGTATCATGAAAGTTATCTCTAGCTCTTTTCGTGCCATAGATGTGGATAAGCGCACCCTGTATCATAAACCACATCAGTAGTTTCAACTTCCTGTTGGGAAGTAAAACTCAAATGGCAGTCCATATCGAATCATTCATAATATGTAGCTACTGAGAGTGGCCAGATGGTCTGACAATAATATGTTCATTGTGCTTCTTTAAAAATTGTTTCTGCATCTAGTTTGAAGCCACTGCTCATAAAAAATTCACATTTCTGATAGAAGCTTCTGAGAACATGCACTGGAGAGTTGCTTGGTTGCATGCAGTTTATCCTGGTACCTCATTTTGTTCCTGGCATTATCTGTTTCTCATGCTTTGCTCCCCTCCCTTTTTAGGATTAAGGTAAATAGATAATATCAAGAATATCTACACTTGTAGTCTAATAAACTGTGTCTGTTGTAGTTTGATGGCATCCATGTGGTGAGTGGATCTCTTGATACATCAATCCGCGTTTGGGATGTGGAGACAGGGAACTGCATTCACACGTTAACAGGACACCAGTCGTTAACAAGTGGAATGGAACTTAAAGACAACATTCTTGTCTCTGGGAATGCAGATTCTACAGTTAAAATCTGGGATATCAAAACAGGACAGTGTTTACAAACATTGCAAGGTAATACTGGCTACCCACCTTTAGTTGCATTTCTTAGAAATGAGAGAGTTGGTCAAAAGAGAAATGTGGAACTTTTGTGTCACAGAATGATTAACCTCATACAAAATGAAAACTGATTTTGGATAAGTTTATGAGCATTTCCACGCTGAACTGACAGAACTAGGCTGCCCTAAGAAAGTGTTTTAAATTGTGTTTTTAATATAAAAGTATTTAATCACTTCCTACATGTATGGTTAACTCTACCTCACCTGAAAGAACAATGTGAAGGGAGATCTTAGCTGTATCACAGAAGCAGCATGCTCGTTTTATTTGTTGAGTGATCATTTATTTTGAATTTGTAGTCCAATTTTAAATTAAAGAGCTGCCTTACTGGGGCGGGGCGGGGGGGGAGAAGCCTCTTTAATCTGATAGGAAATTGCTTTGGCCTTGACTTAGACCCTTAACCATCTGCTTAAGTAGGATGGGAGGGCATCACGGTGCCCACTCAACTAGAGGGGGAAACGTCTGAAAGCCACTAGCACTAAATGAGGCACGACGCTGTTAACTTCTTCTGTCGTGACTAACTGCTTTTTATTGGTCAGAGCCCTTAGAAAGCATTAGTTTTCAGTGAGGCCATCTGGTAGGTGGTACTGCATTTTTCTCATTGACAAATTTTGTCTCTTTTTCAGAGTTTTGGAATAGGGTTCATTCAGCGTTTTGCCCCTAATTGGTCAGTTCAGAGTGGTAGGGTAGTAGAGTTGATGGTCTTCTTCAGCACAACCAGAACACACGACGTGTGCCTGGTAGTGAACCATGCTTCCTAAGAGACAGAACCCTCAAAGACTAACGTTTCAGTTACAAGTAGCTACCAGATTTTCCTACATCCCTGCTGATTCTAAAATACTCAGAACGCAGTTTCTAAATGTGCAGTGTTTTAAATATTTCATTTATTGTGTGTTCCAATGCAGATTCCACAAATTACAATCTAGCTGACCCGAAACCATGGTTTCTAACCAGTAATGAGATTCCTTGGTTTTGCCTAGGTCCCAACAAGCATCAGAGCGCTGTGACCTGTTTACAGTTCAACAAGAACTTTGTCATTACCAGCTCAGATGATGGAACTGTAAAACTGTGGGACTTGAAAACGGGTGAATTTATTCGCAACCTAGTCACATTGGAGAGTGGGGGGAGCGGGGGAGTTGTGTGGCGGATCAGAGCCTCGAACACAAAGCTGGTGTGTGCCGTCGGGAGTCGCAATGGGACGGAGGAAACCAAGCTGCTGGTGCTGGATTTTGATGTGGACATGAAGTGAAGAGCAGGAAAGGGGGCGTCGTCCCCACTTGTAGGCGACGGACTCCCTGCCCTTCCCCCTGCAAAAGAAAAAAAAAGAAAAAAGAAAAAATATCCCTTGTTCTCAGTGGTGCAGGATGTTGGCTTGGGGCAACAGAGCGAAAAGACCTACAGACGCAGAAGGAAAAGAGGAAGCGATGACAAACCGCAACTGACAAGAGAGGCGCCTGCCGGCTCTTCCCGGAAGAGGCTTCACTTTGGACTGAGGGCAGCTTTGCAACACGAGACTTTCGAAATCAAACCAGGTGCAATTATTTCTTTATTTTCTTCTCCAGTGGTCGCTGGGCAGCGTTACTGCTGAGACGTCGTTACAGATTCGCTGGCCTGTTCTCTTACCACTGAGACCTAGAAAGAAGCTGCAATAACACCCACACAGTACCGGTGGACTGTCTCACCGAGAGCATCTGAAACAAAAAAAGTTATTTTTCTGGAGTGGAAAAGCTAAAAAGGAAAAAAATTACTGTGAATTGTTTTTGTATAGTTATCATGAAAAGCTTTTTTTTTTTTTTTGCCAAACCGTTGCCAATGTCAATCAATCACAGTATTAGCCTCTGTTACTCTCTCCCTGTCGCTTCCACGTGCACTCTTTAATGCCTGTGTTGCTCAAAGGTGGCCAGTTGTCCTGGGTTCTGAGAGCCCCGAGATGGATTTAACTCTTGATGCTGGTGCTAGAGGTAGGTCTTCAACGACGGGGTCGTGTCCCACCCTGTACTGTACCCCCAGTGGCCAAACTTACTTATGCTGCTAAGTGAGAGAAAGAAAAAAAGCAAATTATTTTTTTTTATTTTTTTTCTGCTGTGACGTTTTAGTCCCAGACTGAATTCCAAATTTGCTCTAGTTTGGTTACGGAAAAAAAAAAAAAAGACTTTTTGCCGCTGAAACTTGAGCCATCTGTGCCTCTAAGAGGCTGAGCATGGGAGAGTTTCAGGAAATAAAGAGTGACGTTTGCCTGCAAGTAAAGAATCGAGAGTGTGTGCAAAGCTTATTTTCTTTTATCTGGGCAAAAATTAAAACACATTCCTTGGAACAGAGCTGTTGCCGCCTGTTCTGCGGAGAAACTTTTCTTTTTGAGGGCTGTGGTGAATGGATGAACGTACATAGTAAAACTGACAAAATATTTTAAAAATATATAAAACACAAAATTAAAATAAAGTTGCTGGTCAGTCTTAGTGTTTTACAGTATTTGGGGAAACAACTGTTACAGTTTTATCGCTCTGAGTAACTGACAAAGCAGAAACCATCCAGTTTTTGTAGTAAAGGCGTCACGTGCAAACAAGCGAAATGAATGGAAAAGTCAAATGGTTTGCCTCATTTTCCAGGAGCCACAACTCAAGCTGAACTGTGAAAGTGGTTTAACACTGTATCCTAGTGATCTTTTTTTTTCCTCCTCCTGTTTATTTTTTGTTTGTTTTATTTATAGTCTGATTTAAAGCAATCAGATTCAAGTGGTTAATTTTAGTTATGTAACAACCTGACATGACGGAGGAAAACAGCCTTTAAAGGGATTGTGTCTATGGTTTGATTCACTTAGAAATTTTATTTTCTTATAACTTAAGTGCAATAAAATGTGTTTTTTCATGTTAGTAGGCCTGTTTCTTCTACTGAGGTGGTAACACTTCATTATCAGTACTTAGGGTTTGTCTCTGACAGATGGAAGAGCAGAGTGCACGGGGGTGAACACACGTGAAACCTGGCCCCTCACAGAGCCACCAGACTCCTGTGTGGCGGTTACAGCTAGATCTCCTGTGAAAGCTCGTTGTTAAAGTCTGACCACATGTCGACCAGGAACTTTGCATATACATCTCTCAGAAGCTCCCACACCCCTTAGAAGTAGGCAGCACTCTCCCCACTTCACAGATGAGGGCAGAACTGGGGCTCACACGGGGTAGGGGTTTGTCAGGCGTCAGGTACTGGGCCAGGCACCAGAACTCACACCCATGCCCTTTAAGGAAAAAGAAACCTGGAGTTTCAGCAGACTAAAGCGAGGTTTTAGGGATGAGGGGGCATTTTTGTGGTACTTTTAGGCTCTTTTGTCACTGTTTTATTGAATAAGCCTAGCATTTTTACAGTAAGTGAAAAAAAAAATGAAGTTCGGTTACTGCAATTACATAGCCATGGCAGGTTTCTGCCGTGGGTGTATCTCCAGGAAGCCCAGCTAGCCAGGCCTGAGATGCACATCAGAAAGTTGACAAATACAGAGGCTACTTAGAGAATACATTTCTTACAGTCACAAAGTATGTATTCTTTAGTCCTAGGGCATCAGTTCTTGGGCCTCACTTTCCCAAAGCTGCTGAATCAGAACATCTGGGAATGAATGGGACCCAAGAATCTGCATTTAAACTAGCTCACAAGGTGGGTGGTGAACACAACTTTGAGAACCGCTGCTCTAGTTATTTGGTGTATTAGTCCCCAACACATTACAGGCACGAGAACATCAGAGAGAAGTGACAGGATAAGGGAAAAGATAGAAAAACCACATGGTTAAGACCCATGGCAGAAATCACATTAGGCTATGAAGTGCAGGTGAGAGCAGCCCGGCCTGCTGCAGGGTGAGCCGTGGCATAGCCCAGAGCCACAGCTGCTGTTCACACAGACAGCTCCGTGATCGAGAAGTTGTGATTCTGCTTGGCAGTCTTGAAACTGCTTGATTTTTCCTAATGTAAATGTGGCTTGACTCTAATACAATTGAAGCACATCATCTATAAAAATGAATGTGCATTATAGGATAGAATGAGTTCACAAATAGGTCTGACTCCAAAGCCCAGCTCTGTCTGAATACAGGACCTTCATCAGATCACTTACCTCATGTCTCATCTTCTAGGAGGCAGAGAATCCCACCTCCTAAGGTTATTGTAGGGATTAAGTGGAATGTTACAAAGCATACCAATGGCACTAAGTGGTAGCTGCTCTTACAACTTTAAGAAAAGAGACCCAGATAATTCTATCTTGCTATATTTGGAGCAGTTGAATGTATTTGTGACTCATTCAGGTATGTAATAAAAATAGCATTTCTCTATATATAGCAAATTTACTTTTTTTAAAAAGTGGAGTCACATAAATTTCTCATTGAGTCTTACAGAAACCTTGTAAAAGGCAAATATGGAGCTCTTGTATATACTTAGGTGTTCATTAAATTTTATTTATGAATAAATGAATGATCTTCATTACAGTGAATCTGTTCCAGGAAACAGAAAATCTTAACCTCATCCTAAAGGAATTAAAATAAGAAAGGTCATAAAGGGAGCCCTGCTTGTGGCCTCCTTAATGAAGAAATTCACCACCTTATATAACTGTGAATTTTCAATTGTTTATACCAAAGAGAGGCAGCCCCCAAATTTAGATGTGACCAGTTCCCAAAGATCAAACAATGCCTGAAACTAAAGCTAAAATTAGGACACAGAGTAACCCATAAACGCCCAGAGCAGGTGCTCAGTAAGTTTGTGGAACTGAGCAAAGAGGACTTATTTATTTATTTATTTTTATGGAATTGTTTATAATTTTGACTCTTGGAAGCTCCCTTATTGCTATTTAAGAACCACAAGCTGTTTCATTAATTTGCAACAGCTAGTACACACCAATTGGTGAAGTAGATATTTCAACCTACCTACTTGTTTAATTTCAAAAGGTAATTGACATTTAGTTCATTGTATTAATTTAACGTTTAAGCCATTTTCTCTCTGCCTTTTGAGCTAGCCTGTTCAGTCTCCTTTCTGCTTCTCTGAACTGATTGGAGGCTACAATCAAATAACAACAACGAAGACCTCTGCCTGTCCCTTCCCTAAAGTGAACCGGGTCGCAGGAAGGCTTCCCTGGATCCAGGCTGTGCCTCGTTTCCCACACATTTTTACTGATGCAATCCCTGCACTTTGTGAAATGGAGACACAGGAGACAGAGAAGCTGCCTGGCAGCGCCCGCCTGGCTTCATCCCGGCTGCTGTGACTCCTAACAGCCCGTATTAATAGAAACCAGAAACAGTTACTGGCGTAGGGCAAGGAGATTAGATTCACATCACAATGACTGCTGCCTTCCCTCAGACACAGCCTTATTCACTTTCCTTCTGTTAGTCATCCCCACCCCCAGTAAAACTAGTCCACATTGTAACCTCTACTCCTTCAGCTTCATTGGCAACAGAGGGTTCAACCTTGTCCCTTGCAGCAATTTTCAGAGAACCTACTAGTTTATAAAGCCATCTGGAATTCTACCAGTAGTGAAAGTGCTTTAGTGTTGCTGGTGATTGAATGTGAATAAATGCTTCTGATGCAAGTTGTTTTCGTGTCCCCTGTGGTGTGTGTGTGTGTGTACAACATACAAGAATTTATTGGAGGGACTTCCCTAGCAGTCTAGTGGTTAAGACTCCATGATTCCACCGCAGGGGGGCCCAGGGCCCGGATTTGATCCCTGGTCAGGGAACTAAGATCACGTGCACTATGGCAAAAAACAAACAAAAAAAGAATATACTGGATCCTGGGAAGAGGCCCTTGTTCTCAGTGATGCACAATAATATTTCTGTTAAGCCTTTCTCTTGTTCATCCATGAAAAAAAAAGAACGGGCCGTATGAAGGGAAGATGTTAGTGGCCAAGAGAAGGTTTGCTAAGACTTCTGTGATAGCTCAGTGACCTCTGTGTGAAGGGAGTGTGTGTCCGCATCATGTTGCTGGAGTCCTGCGTTAGACAACGTAAGGTAATTTGAAAAGGTGGTGCACAGTGTTATCTTTTGGCATTGTCTACTGCCCAGGAGATGGATTTTAAGTTAGATCTGAAGTGCCTGCACCCAGCTGCTGTTTTGGGGGAGCGCCAGCCATCGATCTGAATTGCCATCAAGCATAGCGTGGCACTGCTCACTAGCCCGTGCGTCCTATTGTCCATTCATTCATGCTAGTGAAGCCCCACCAAGGGAGGTTCTTGCCAGTTGCATTCCTCTGCCACCTTCTCTTTCTAGGTGGAGGAGACCAGAAATATCAA